CAGTACGCGGGTCTCTCACTGCTGTGGCCTCTCCCGTTGCAGAGCACAGGCTCCGGACGCGCCTCAGGCTCAGCGGCCATGGCTCACAGGCCCAGCTGCTCCGCGGCATGTGGGATCCTCCCAGACCGGGGCACAAACCCGTATCCCCTGCATCAGCAGGCAGACTCTCAACCACTGTGCCACCAGGGAAGCCCTATTTGCTTTTCTTTAGAGCTCTGTGCCATCAGCATATATGAATATGCTTTCTGTGTCACCATTCAAGACAAGACCAAGCAGAGGCCTAGGGCGCTCACTGGAGACCTATTGGCACTCTGCCTTCAGTGATCAAAGAGCTGCACGAATCCCCTTAATAGTGCTGTCAGATGGCCCACAGTCCTCCCTCCTGACTCTGAAGCTATTTCAACAGACTTTTAGTGATGCTTTTGCTAAAATTAACACCTACTATATCTCCAGCCATGAACCCCTTGAGTGATGTCAGATATCATCTAGAAAATCCCATATTTTACAGACAGGAAATTGTGACTTGCCCAAAGTCACACACTGTGGCAGGGCTGGCTTCTTTGTCTATGCCATGTTCTTTCCATTATATCATGCTTCCTCCACAGTTCAGGAAACTTATCTCTTGCTGCCATAACAAATTACCACGAATTTAGCGGCTTACAAAATACAAGTTTCTTATCTTACAGTTCTGTTGGTAAGAGGTCTGACACATATCTCACTGGATTAAAGTCAAGGTGTCAGCAGGGCTGGTTCCTTTCTGGGGGCTCTAGGTGAGGATCTGTTCCTTCGCCTCTTCCAGCTTCTAGAGGCTGCCTGCATTCATCGGCTCGTGGTCCCCTCCCTCTAGCTCCAGAGCCAGCATCTGCAGGTGGAGTTCTTCTCATGTCACATCTCTCTGCCCCTTCTTCCATGGTTGAATCTCTTTCTTCCCATGGCCCTGAAAGCTTCATCCTTCCAAAGACTTGTGATTAGATTGGCCTCCCAGGATAAAACAGGATGATTTCCCCATCTAAAGGTCCTTAACTTAATCACGTTAACAATTTTGTCAGGTAAAGTAACCTATCCTGTCCACGGGTTCTGAGGATTAGATTGTGAACATTTGGGGGAGGCCATTTTTCTGCCTATCACATGCTATCTGTAGATTAGGACCTCCTGGAGTCAGTGGGTTAAGGTAATGAAGATGGACAGAACCTGACTTTCAGAGTCTCAGGAGACTTCCTTGACTTCCTGATGTTGGCTGGACTTCACGAAAGTTTATACAGATGAGCCCCTTTTTATTTTTATTTATTTATTTATTTTTTTTTTTTCTTGCGTTATGCGGGCCTCTCACTGTTGCGGCCTCTCCCATTTGCGGAGCACAGGCTCCGGACGCGCAGGCTCAGCGGCCATGGCTCATGGGCCCAGCCGCTCCGCGGCATGTGGGACCCTCCCGAAACGGGGCACGAACCCGCGTCTCCTGCATCGGCAGGCGGACTCTCAAGCACTGCGCCACCAGGGAAGCCCCAGCCCCTTTTTAAAAAAAAAAAAAAATTTATTTTGCTGCGCCAGGTATTAGTTGCAGCATGAGGGATCTAGTTCCCTGACCAGGGATCGAACCTGGGCCTCCTACATCGGGAGCGCAGAGTCTTAGCCACTGGACCACCAGGGAAGTCTCTAGATGAGCCCCTTTCCACACAGCAAATTCTTTTCCGAGACCCTCATAGCTGGGCTCCCTCTAAGCATGGAGGGGTCAGGAGAGGGCAAGAAATGGGCTTTGGTGTTTGTCCTCTAGGATCTCAGATGAAATTATGATCCTGGAAAAGCTGAAATGTACAGCACTGGCCCCTCAGCTCTG